GTACAGCAGCTGCCGCGCCTTCCGGACAACCCCACCCCTCAGCAGCTTCGTGAGTGGGTTGTCCAGCGTGTTTCCCCTGGGGGCTCTGGTCGCTGCCCGTACATCAGGCGCACTGGGAAGCTGAAGGGGCAGCCCTGCGGGAAGCTGCACACCGAGTACCGCTGCTTCGGCCGTCTTGAGGATGCCTGGATGGATGAGTACGGGAATGAGGCGTTTGTCCCCAACTGGCTGAAACTGCAGAGGATGGGAGTCGATGTGTATGCTCTTGACTTTGTTCAGATCAACACGGCTATCTATGCTATGTATGTGACTGAGCTTAGTGATGAGGATGCGTGTTACTCGTGTGTACCTGGTGATGCTGGTGTCGCTGCTGCTGCTCTAGGTGCTGTTGGGTTTGCTGCAGCACTAGGTGCTATTGAGTCTTCGGTCGTAGGTGCTAGTGAGTCTGCTGCCTCCGCTTTGGCCCTTCACACTTTCACACTTGACTCAGGCACGTCTCATTGTTTCTTTTGTGACAGCACCACACTCACACGACTAGCTGCACCGGTACCAGTCTCATTGGCCGACCCCACTGGGGGCCCAATATTCGCACGAGCCTCCACTGTCCTTCCATGTCCAGCAGTCCCCTCCGGTTCTCTGTCAGGTCTCCACCTCCCCACTTTCTCCACGAACTTGGTGAGCAACGCTGCTCTTCAGGATGTATGGGTTGACACCTTTACTCCAGGAGGGCAGCGCGTAGCGATCTGTACGTGCTCCCGGACTGGCTGTCACCTAGCTACGTTCACTCGACGGCCTGGGTCTATTCTGTACATACTGACCACTGCGTCTGCACAGGTGGCTGAGTCAGGTCAGGTGACTGCGTCGAGTAAGGTGTCTGCGTCTGGTCAGCTTGCAGCGTCCTGCTCATGTCGGGTACTCTCCCACCAGACTCTCCTCTGGCTCCACCGCCTTGGTCACCCCTCCCTACCGCGTCTCCGCAGCATGCACTCCCGTCTCCTTGTCTCTGGGCTTCCCAGGTCCCTGCCCTCCCTCCCGTGCTCGCCTATACCGCCCTGCCTTCCCTGCGTCGAGGGGCGGCAGTGCGCCGCTCCTCACTCCTCCGACCACTGCTCCTCTGCAGACTCTCCACATGGATTGGGGCCCGGCCCCCGTCGGTGGAATGGACCAGGAGCGGTACTTCCTGCTGGTTGTTGACGAACACACACGCTACACCACTGTCTTCCCCTTGCGTTGCAAGGCGGACATCAGCGGTGTTTTGATCCCCCGGATCCATGCTACTCGTCGCTAGCTGTGCGATCGGTTCAGTCGAGACTTGCCAGTCCTGCGTCTGCACTCTAACAGGGGCGGTGAGTTCTCTTCTGAATTCCTTGCGGAGTTCTGTCAAGATGAGGGCATCCGCCAGTCGTTCACGCTTCCGGCCTCTCCTCAGAAAAATGGGATTGCTGAGCGTCGCATTGGCTTGATCATGGAGGCTGCTCGTACCTCCATGATCCATGCGGTTGCTCCTCATTTTCTGTGGCCGTTTGCGGTCCGATACGCTGCGCATCAGCTCAACCTCTGGCCCCGTGTCTCTTTGCCAGAGACCTCGCCCACACTCCGTTGGACGGGACAGGTTGGAGATGCATCGGTGTTTCGGATCTGGGGCGCGCTCTCCCTTGTTCACGATACCACTGCGAGCAAGCTCTCCCCTCGCACTCTTCGCTGTGTCTTCCTTGGCTTCCCCACCGACGCCCCGCCGTGGCAGTTCTACCACCCAAGCTCGCATCGAGTCTTCTCCTCCCAGGACGTCACCTTTGACAAGTGTGTCTGTTACTACAGGCTTCACCCGCATGCGTCCCACCCTGTTCCCCTCGCACCTCTCTTCCTGGTCCCAGTCCTCCCCCCGGTCAACCCCCTCCCCCCACAGGGTCCTGCTCCCTCAAATGTATCTCAGGTAGACCCACCTCCCTTGGTTGAGCCTTTGGAGGTCTCTTCTGACTCCTCTGGCCCAGCTTAGGGGGGTGACCCCGCCGCTGACGACACGGCGGCCACTCGCCGCTCTCCACGCTTGGAGACCCCCCCTGGTTTTCCCCCTAGGCTGTCTTCGCCGCCTCCGCAGCTTGCTGCTGTGGACTCTGGAGCTGAGGCTGCTGGTGCTGAGCCTGAAGGTGCTGAGGCGGAGGGTGAGGGTTCTGGGGGTGCTGCGACTGGGGGTGCTGGTTCTGGGGGTGCTGAGACTGGGGGTGCTGACTCTTGGGGTGCTGTGAGTCCTGGTGGCGTTGGAGAGTCCAGTCGTGCTGGTGCTGGAGCTACTAGTCCTGGAGGTGCTGGAGGTACTGCTGGAGGTACTAGAGGTGCTGCTGGTGCTGGAGGTAATGGAGCTGCTGGTGCTGGAAGTGCTCGAGCTACTGGTCCTGGATGTCCTGCTAGTGCTGGAGGTGTTGGAGGTGCTGGAGGTACTACTAGTGCTGGAGGTACTGGAGCTGCTGGTGTTGGAGGTACTGGAGTTGTTAGTGCTGTAAGTGCTGCAGGTGCTGCAGGTGCTGGAGGTGCTGGAGCTACCACTGCTGGAGGTATTGGAGGTCCTGCTGGTACTGGAGGTACTGGACCTGCTGGTGCGCTTAGCCACCTTCTCGCCCTTCCGCCAGCTCCTACTGAGTTGCCACTCGCTGGTACTACTCCTCCGTTACTGTTCCCGCAGCTCCTGCCTCACTCCCCACTGCCTGCTCCTGCTCCTTACACTGCTATGACAGAGTCCCTGACTGAGCGTCGAGAGCCTGAGACTCGTGCTTCCACTCCTGAGCGACGAGAGCCTGAGACTAGAGCTTCTGTCCGTACTCGTGTTCGTCGTTTTTGTGCTCCGGCTGTCCCAGGCACTCATGATATGACACTCCGTCCTTCCTCTGTTCCACTGCGTGTTGTCGTGCCTTCACCTCCTAAGTCTTCTCTTCCCGCTGGTGCTGACCCTTTGTCTGACCTTGCTCGTGCGTCCAGTCCGACTGTTACTCACTTTCTTGCTACGGTTGTGACGGACTCTACGCTCTCGTCTCATGCTGCGTCCGCCTTAGTCGCTGAGCTAGTTGCGTACCGCCTGGACTACCGTGCAAGTCTCGTTTCTGACCCTGACCCTGCCTGTCCTCCGTCCATCAGGGGTGAGGTTGCCCTTTGCTGTGACGTTCTTGAGGACAGGCAGGAGGAGCTGGAGTGTCTTGTGGCCGCTGCACCTCATCTCGCGACCATGCTGCTTGCCCCTGAGGGAGACCCGGATGCACTTGACATCCCTACCCCGCGCTCTTACAGAGAGGCGATCTCGGGTGAGTACTCCTCTCAGTGGGAGAGAGCCATGGACGCAGAGATGGCTTCCTGGAAGTCCACAGGCACCTACGTGGATGAGTTTCCCCCACCTGGGGCGAACATCGTCAGTGGCATGTGGATTTTCAGAGTGAAGCGGCCGCCGGGTTCCCCGCCTGCCTTCAAGGCGCGTTACGTTGCTCAAGGCTTCAGTCAGCGACAGGGGGTCGACTTCTTCCAGACCCTCTCCCCTACCTCGAAGATGACCACTCTTTGGGTGTTACTACACGTTGCAGCTCAGCGTGACTACGAGCTGCACTCCCTTGACTTCTCCACAACTTTCTTGTAGGGTAGCCTTCGCGAGGCCATCTGGCTGCGCCGTCCACCTGGTTTCACTGGGTCGTTTCCTGCGGGTACCCAGTGGAGCCTATGGCAACCAAATTACGGCCTGCGTCAGGCACCTCGCGAGTGGCACGACACACTGAGGACGACACTTGCGGCTTTTGGGTTTGCTCCTTCGACTGCTGACCCGTCGCTGTTTCTGCGCACCGACACTACCCTGCCGCCGTTCTACGTTCTCATGTACGTCGACGACTTGGTTTTTGCTACTGCTGACAGTGAAGTGAAGGCGGAGCTGTAGGAGAGACACACCTGCACTGACCTGGGTGAGCTGCGGAGCTATATTGGCCTGCTGATCACCCGGGACAGAGCACGGCGCACCATCACTTTGACTCAGTCACACATGGTGCACCAGGTCCTTCAGCGCTTCGGCTTCCAGTTCTCCTCGCCACAGCCCACTCCTCTGTCTACCGGCCACTCGCTCTCAGCTCCACCTTCAGACGAGTCCGTAGAGCCGAGTGGTCTGTACCTAGAGCTTGTGGGTTGCCTCATGTACCTGATGACTTGCACGCGTCCTGACCTTGCATACCCTCTCAGCCTTTTGGCTTGCTACATGGCTCTCGGTCGACACCGAAAGGTGCACTGGGATGCTGCGAAGAGGGTACTGCGTTACTTGTGCAGTACATCGGGCATGGTGCTCGTGCTTGGAGGACGGGGTTCAATGGTACTCACAGGACACTCCGACGCTTCTTGGGCCGACGACCAGTCGACTCAGCGTTTGTCACAGGGTTACACCTTCAGTCCTGGCACTGGTTCTGTCTCGTGGAGGTCCACTCATTCTTCTTCTGTGCTTGGTTCCAGTTGTGAGGCCGAGATCTACGCTGGGGCCATGGCTGCACAGGAGCTACGCTGGCTGACCTACCTGCTGACCGACTTGGGGGAGCGGCCTCGTTCTCCTCCAGTTCTGTACGTCGACGACAAGGCAATGCTTGCCTTGTGTCACGAGCAGAGACAGGAGCACAGAACGAAGCACATTGCTCTTCGCTACTTTCTTGCACGAGAGCTACAGCAGCGTCGTCAGCTCCGCCTTTCCTACGTGGCCTCGTGGGCCGACACTGCTGATGTGTTCACCAAGGCCCTTGGGTCTGGTGATCATCAGCATTTCTCTTTGGCTTGTGCCCACTCTGCCTCACTTGCTTGTCTCTTGATCTTGCTCTTGTTGTACACTGATATGTATGAGTATACCTGCATGCTTACACTTGCTAGGTTGTGATCAGTGTATTGCTCTTGCTATTATAAACTCTGCATGTGAGCTGGCCTTGTGGCCACTTGCTTGTGCTCGGAATGCGTGGTGATCTTGAGATCCACCGTGAGCTTTTATTCAAGTAAAGTCAAGAGGTAAGCAAGTGAGGCCAAGTAGGCACAAGACCTAGCATAGTACAGAAACGCTGATGATCACAAGGCTGAAGTGCCTTGGTGAAGATATCAGCAGTGTTGGCCTGAGAGGCCACGTAAGCAAGGCGCAGCTGACCACGCTGCTGCAACTCACGAGCAAGGAAGTAGCGAAGAGCAATGTGCTTCGTTCTGTGCTCCAGTCTGTGCTCCCGACAAAAGGCCAACATGGCCTTGTTGTCTACGTACAGAACTGGAGGAGAACGAGGCGGCTCTCCCAGGTCAGTCAGCAGGTAGGTGAGCCAGCGTAACTCCTGTGCAGCCATGGCTCCTGCGTAGATCTTAGCCTCATAGCTGGAGCTGAGAACAGAAGACGAGCGGGTAGACCGCCACAAAACAGAACCGGAACCAAGGCTGAAGGTGTAATCCTGTGACGACCGCTGAGTAGCCAGGTCGTCCACCCAAGACGCGTCTGCGTGACCAGTGAGGACTACTGGACTCCGCCCTCCAAGCACGAGCCCCATGCCCGACGTACTGCACAAGTAGCGCAACACCCTCTTCGCGGCAGCCATATGCTCTGGTCGGTGTCTGCCAGGAGCAACATAGCGTGCCAGAATGCTAAGAGGGTATGCCAGGTCAGGTCGAGTGCAGGTCATCAGGTACATGAGACAGCCAACAAGCTCTGGGTACGGGCCACTCGGCTCTACGGACTCATCCGAAGGCAGAGCTGAGAGCGAGTGGCGAGTAGACAGATGAGTGGCCTGAGGCGAGGAGTACGTGAAGTCGAAGCGCTGAAGGACCTGCTGCACCATGTGTGACTGAGTCAGGGTAATGGTGCGCCGTGCTCTGTCCCGGGTGATCTGCAAGCCAAGATAGCTGCGCAGTTCACCCAGGTCTGTGCACGTGTGTCTCTTCTGCAGCTCGGACTTCACGTGGGCGAGTCCAGCAGTGTCAGCCGTAGAAAACACCAAGTCGTCGACGTACACGAGGATGTAGAACGGCGGCAGCAAAGTGTCGGTGCGAAGAAACAGCGACGGGTCAGCAGTAGAAGGAGCAAACCCAAGAGCCGCAAGCGTAGTCCTCAGTGTGTCGTGCCACTCACGGGGCACCTGGCGGAGACCGTAGACTGGCTGCGGGAGGCTCCACTGGGTACCAGGAGGAAACGACCCAGTGAAACCAGGTGGGCAGCGCAGCCAGATCTCCTCGTGCAGGCTGCCCTGTAGGAAAGCAGTGCTGAAGTCAAGGGAGTGAAGCTCGTAGTCACGCTGAGCAGCGACGTGCAGCAGAACCCGAAGAAGGTCTGAAAGTAGTCAACTCCCTGCCGCTGACTGAAGCCTCGAGCCACGTAACGCGCCTTGAAGACAGGCGGAGAACCCGGCGGCCGCTTCACCCTGAAAATCCACATGCCACTGACGATGTTCGCCCCAGGTGGGGGAACCTCATCGACGTAGGTGCCTATGGACTTCCAGGAAGCCATCTCTGCGTCCATGGCTGCCTGCCACTGAGAGGAGTAGGGACCCTCTATCACCTCTGCGTAAGAGCGCGGGGTCGGGATGTCTGGTGCATCCGGGTCTCCCTCAGGGGCAAGCAGCATGGACACGAGATGAGGTAAAGCAACAGCAAAACACTGGAACTCCTCCTGCCTGTCCTCAAGGACGTCCGTGCTAAGGGCACACTCACCCCCGACGGACGGAGGACAGACAGACGCAGACTCAGCAATAAGACTAGTGGCGTAGTCTAGACGACAGTGAGCAGCGAAGTCGACAAGCTCGGCAACTAAGGCAGACGCAGCAGCGGACTCAAAGGAAGGGTCAGTGACAGCAGTGGCTAGGAAACGCGTGACAGTAGGTCTGGCAGCACGAAGGGAGTCAGTCTCCGGATCAGCAAGAGCAGGAAGAGCGGACTCTGGAGGAGACGGCAAAGGGACACGCTGTGGTGCAGTGGAAGGACGCAGTGCCATCTGATGCGTGCCAGGGACCGCAGGAGGACGCGGACGCGGAACACGACGACTAGGGCGAGCAGGACAAACAGGTGACGCAGGACGCGACTCAGGCTCACGACGCTCAGCAAGGCCTCCAGTAGGACCAGCGTAGGGAGAAGGAGCAGGTAGTGGAGAGGCTAGCAGTAACTGTGACTCAGACTGGACAGGCGGTGGACTCTCTAAGGAAGGAGCAGGACCAGAAGAAGGCGGAAGACCAAGAACCTGCTCAAGGAGCGGAACGAAGTACGGCCGCGGCCGTGCAGCACCTCCACAACCAGCAGAGATAGCACCAGCACCTGTAGCATCAGCAGCAACTCCAGTAGCACCACTAGCACCAGCAGTACCACCAGCAGCTCCAGGAGTGCCAACTCCAGCACCCACAGGAGCACCGGCTCCAGCAGCACCTCCAGCTCCAGTACCTCCAACAGCTCCAGCTCCAGCAGGACCACCGGAAGACGCAGTAGCTCCGGCTCCAGTACCTCCAGCAGCACCCACTCCAGCAGCAGAACCAGCTCCAGCTCCGCCAGTAGCTCCAGCTCCAGTAGCACAACCAGGTCCAGCAGCTCCAGTACCTCCAGTACGAGCACCTCCGGGACCCGTGGCTCCAGCACCCCCAGCAGCAGTAGAACCTCCAGCACCGGCAGCACAACCAGCTCCAGCAGCACGGCTCCAGCGCCGAGCAAACCACTCACGTAGCTCCTGTGGAGAGGGGAGCTCCCGCCGGGACAAAGCACCCGAAGGACCGCCAGGTCCAGCACTGGCAGGCTCCACACCCCCACCCTCAGCAACCCCAGGCACAGCACCCCCAGACCCAGCATCCCCAGGCTCCGCACGCTCAGGCTCAGCACCCCCAGACCCAGCACCCCCAGACTCCGCACGCTCAGGCTCAGCACCCCCAGACCCAGCACCCCCAGGCTCCACACGCTCAGGCTCAGCACCCCCAGAAGTACCAGAGTCAACAGCTACCTCGACAGGCTCGACTGCATCTACCCGGGACACACCTGAGGGGGCAGGACCCTGAGGGGGGAGGGGGTCTACCGGGGGGGGACCGGGCGTGAGGAAGAGCGGCGGGGGGGGGGAGGGGGGCAGCGCGGTAGGGGAAGAGACGGAAGTACGGAACCGACTCGTCAAACGTGACGTCCTGGGAGGACTGAACACGACGCGAGGTGGGGTGGTAAAACCGCCAACCAGGCTCGTCAGGGGGGAAGCCAAGGAAGACGCAAGGAACAGCACGGGAGGACAGCTTGTCCGCAGACAAGTCACGGACGAAAGCTCGAGATCCCCAGACACGGAACGCAGACGCATCGCCAACCTTCCCCGTCCACCGCAGAGTGGGGGAGGTCTCCGGCAAGGAGACCCGGGGCTGAAGGTTGATCTGATGCGCCGCGTACTGAACCGCGAACGGCCACAGAAAATGGGGAGCAGCCGCATGGATCATGGACGTACGAGCGACGTCCATGACCATGCCAATGCGGCGCTCAGCAATCCCATTTTGCTGCGGAGAGGCCGGAAGCGTGAACGTCTGGCGGATGCCCTCCGCACGACATAAGGCTCGCAGAAGGTCGGAGGAAAACTCTCCACCTCTGTTGGAGTGCAGACGCAGAACAGGAAAGTCCGAGCCGAAACGCTCTCTGAGCTGGCGACGAGCAACGCGGATCCAGTCGATCAACACCTCAGTGACCTCATCCTTGCGGCGCAAGGGGAAGTCTGTGGTGTAACGCGAGTAGTCGTCAACAACCAGCAGGAAGTAACGCTCGTGACCCTGTCCACGGACGCGGGCTGGGCCCCACACGTCCATGTGAAGAGTCTGCAGCGGAGCCTCTGTTGGAGGAAACTCGGAGGAGTGAGGAGCGGCGCGCTGCCGCCCCTCAACGCAGGGAACGCAGGTAGGGGCAGGCCCCGGGGGAAGAGGAGGGAGGGACCGGGGGAGACCAGAGACAAGGACACGGGAGGCCATGCCTCGGAGACGAGGCAAGGAGGGGTGACCAAGTCGGTGGTGCCAGAGGAGGGTCTGGTGGGACAGGAGGCGACACGAGCAGGGGGCAGACTCAAGACCTGACTGAGACGCTACAGAAAACACCTGACTCGACGCAGCTACCTGACCAGACGCAGCAACCGGTGGAGACTCTGTGGTCAGTGTGTACAGGCTCGACCCCGGTCGACGGGTAAACGTGGCCAAGTGGCGGCCCGTCCGAGCACACGTGCAGTGGGTCACTCGCTGACTCGCAGGAGTGAACTGGTCAACCCCGCCATCCTGAAGGTCAGCACCACTCACCAAGTTCGTAGAGAACGAGGGGAGGTAAAGACCAGACAGGGAGCCTGACGGGGCCGCCGGACACGGGAGGACAGTGGAGTAGCGAGCAAGGACAGGACCCCCAGAGGGGTCTGCCAGGGAGACCGCAACCGGCCGACTGAGCGGCGTAAGGGTGGTGCGGTCTCGAAAGAAGGAGCAGGAAGCACCCGAGTCGAGGGTGAAGGTAACCTGAGCCGACGCGGTACCTGAGAGAGCAGACTCACTAGCACCTGGAGAAGCATACTCACTAGCACCTAGAGCAGCAGCCTCAATGCCCGGGTCAGGCGGAACACACACGTAACAGTCACCCTCAGCACTAATAGACACAGCATACATGGCAGCAAGAATAGCATCAAAATCAAGATCAAAGATAGCTACACCTGACCTGAGCAGATCACCCCAACGAGGGATCTCAGTGGCGTCAGGGAACTGGGTACGCCAGGCGTCTGTCAGGCGGCCGAAGCAGCGCTGGGTGGCGTGCAGGCCGCCACACTGCTCTCCAGTGCGGTCGCCGGAGCGCAGGACGTAGGTACAGGGACCAGCACCCCCAGACCCCTGGCGCCTGCGTACCACTCACGAAGCTGCTGGAGCGACGGGGTCTCACGAGAGCGTGGCTGGTGCTGAGGTCCCCGCTGCACAGCTCCGCCACGACCAGCTCCACCTCCGCCGCCGCCGCCTCCGCCGCCTCCACCCCAACCGCCACCGCCACCGCTGCCGCCACCGCCACCGCTGCCTCCACCTCCACCACTGCCACCGAAGCCCCCACCTCTGCCACCACCCCCACCCCCACCCCCTCCTCCGCCTCCACCGCCACTACCGCCTCCCCCGCCACCTCCTCCAGCGCCCTTGCCCCGCTTGCCCTTGCCGCTACGGCGCCTCTCGCTAGGAGCAGACGCAGCGCTAACCGACTCGGTGCCAACAAGGTCGACAGCAGCAGCAGAGGCAACGGAGGGCAAAAGAGGAACTGGGGAGCACCCCTCAAAGAAAGGGGTACGGGGGTCACCACGAGAGGCTCCTACAGCAGTAATACTAGTCTCTGCTGCAAGGAGGCGCTCCTCGAGGAGGTCAACGGTGAGTGTGGTAGGGCAAAGAGAGAGGAAGTGGTCCCTGACCGAGCGAAGGGTGTCAGGGAGTTGGGTGACTAGGTAGTAGAGGGTGATGTACATGGGGGGGGGGGTTCTTGGCGCAGAACTCAGCAGGAAGCGCAGCGCGGTAGCGGGTGTCACTAGTGCGGAGGTGCGTAATGAGGTCAGTGACTGTGGCAAAAGCGGCGAGGTCAGGGAACAGGTACGGTAGCATGAGGCGGCTAAGTGCAGCAGTGGCAGGGTAAGAGTAGCGTGCAACTACAGCGTCGTACAGAGTCTTAGCACTCTTGTACTGACTAAAGTGCGCGTGCTCAGTAGACGGTAGGTGACTACGCACAGCAAGGCGGGCAGCAGCATCACGCGTGGTCCACTGTGAGCGAGCAGTACTGTCAGCATCAGCAGCAGGGGCAGCAGAGGCGCCAGACGTGAGATCGAACAGTGAGAGACCATCCTTGCTGTCACACTGTAGGAAAAGCTGCAGATCATCTATCCAGACCTCGAAGTCAACCGCTCGACCCTCAGCATCAAAGGTAAGAACACTGGGACTAGCCATGACAGGAGCAGCAGCAGGCTAGCAGCAGCAGCAGTGCGACTCGGCTAAGCGGCGCGGCTAGGCAAGGCAGCGCGGCTCGGCAGGGCGGGCCGGCTCGGCAGCGCGGCTCGGCAGGGCGGGCCGGCTCGGCAGCGCGGCTCGGCGGCGCGACGCGGCTCGGCAGTGCGGCTCGGCGGTGCTCTTACCAAGGGCGGGGCCGGGGCAGGGCCGGGGGAGGGCCGGGGCAGGGCCGCAACAGGTCCGGGGCAGGGCTGCGACAGGTCCGGGGGGAGGGCCGGGGCAGGGCTGCAACAGGTCCGGGGCAGGGCCGGGGCAGTGCCGGGGCAGGGTCGGGGCAGGGCCGGGACAGGGCCGGGGCAGAGCCGCGACAGGGCCGCAACAGGGCCGCAACAGGGCCGGGGCAGGGCCGCGACAGGTCCGGGACAGGGCCGCGACAGGGTCGGGGCAGGGCTGCGACAGGTTCGGAACAGGGCCGCGACAAGGCCGTGACGAGGGACGGGGCAGGGCCAGGGCAGCGCCGCGCGACGGGGCGACGGGCAGGGCCGGGCCGGGACGACGGGGCGCCGGGCTGGGCCGGGCCGAGGAGACGAGGCGCCGGGCGACGGGGCGACGGGCCAGGCCGCGACGCGGCGGCTTTGGGCGACGGGGCAGGGCCGGGGCGGGGTCGCAACAGGGCCTTGAAGGGGGGCCGCTAATGGGCCGCAAAGGGGGCCGCGTAGGGCAGGACAGGCCGCTAGGGGGCCGCGAAGATCAAGGGTAGGGCAGAGCGCGAAGCGCGCTTCGGGCAGGTAGGAAAAAAAAAAAATTGACGGTGGGCCCTTAGGAAGGAACGGTCCCGCTAGGGAACCCGCTCTATACCATGTGAAGAAATGAGAAAGAGGAATGAATGATTGACTAGGAAATGAGTTGGGTACAAATATGAAACCCTAGGAAACTGTACCCCATAGTGTCTACCCCACTACAGCCTAGACAGGCTATGTGATTAATGTTTGACAGTCTTGTGACCATTGCTTGCTCTGGCTATCCCCCACTTCGCCTATGGGGGTGT